GCGCGCGCGCGCGCGNGNGNGGNGGNGGGGGCGGGGGCCTTGCTACGGAACATCAGGGCGGAGGAAGGTGCACATGTACGTACCTCTGCGTCTCTATAGTCCGTCCCCAAATATGGACGCGGGGGCAGGGGGCGGGCTGCCATCTCTCCCGGGTCTTTTTTACTGACGAGAGAAAAGAGCGGGCCAAGGTTGTTGGGCGGCAGCGGTGCTGGTCGGGAAGGGGCTCGCAAGGGTGTTCCTAGCGGGCGGGCGGGCAGGCTTGCTAGCCGGACACGCGCGTAATTCGAGGGCCAGCCATGGCCATGGCCGTCGATGTGGGGAGTGTGTTTGATTCTCACGGATGAATGCCCCGAGGCGCTCCGTTTTGGGGCAGATTTGGTGATGCCGGGGGATATTCTCGGGTTTAGCCGTGCTGCTGCCCGCTGGTCGCTCTGGAGGTCGAGGGAAGGCCGCTGCTGCTGCCTGGACAAGTTCGACATGCCCGATTGCGCACAAGGAGCCATGATGGAAGTGCCCCATACAACAGTCATCTGTAAGGGAGAAAAAAAAATGGGACTTTGGTAGGGAGTGATATGTTGATTATGTCATCTGCAATAAAACCGCCATTATCCCTTCCGGCCAATGCATGTATATACATACCCCTTGGTACGAGCCAAAGCAGGAGCGCTGCTTTTGCTCGCCCCGCCTACCCTTATTTCCCCTGCCAGGCGTATCAGGATCCCAACCCCCCTCCGACAGTAGTACTCCATATGCACTCTTACGCTATGTGAGTAAAAACGATGAGGTATTTCCAACTCCCGGCCTTCCCCCCCCACCCCCTTGGAGAACAAGAGAAACACGGGTTAACGAAAAAAGAAAGAAAAAAAGAGCTAGATTTTGATCATGAAGTGCCCTCCTGGGCGGCAGGCCTCTTGGAGGACTCGGCCTCGGCGGCGGGCACGACGTCCTGGGAGGAGTCGGACTTGGGGACGGCCTCGGTGGGCTCATCCATGCCGCCGAGCTCCTCGAGCGTCTTGCGGGCCGTCTCGGGGATGAGCAGGGTGGTGAAGAAGCCGAGGGCCATGATGCAGGCAAAGATCTGCATGATGTGGTTGATCCAGGGGTACAGCCAGCGGGGGTCGAGCTTCGCGCGCTCCTTGTCGGCCCCGATGCTCTTGAGGGGCCCAAAGACGACCTGGGCGATGATGGCGCCGAGCTTGCCCGACGCGGCCGAGATGCCGTGCGAGGTGGAGCGGTACTTTGTCGGGAACACCTCGCCGGGGATGACAAAGGTGGTGCTGTTGGGCCCGCAGTTGAAGAAGAACTGGGCGATGGTGTAGAGCGCCAGCAGCTCGTTGCCCGACAGGTCCCAGAACTTGAAGCCGATGACGAAGAAGATGAGGGTCAGGGCGAAGAAGCCGAAGAGCTGGACGGGCTTGCGGCCGACCGTGTCGATGATGCCGGCAGAGACCCAGTAGCCCGGCACGGCGCCGGCCAAGACGAGGACGAGGTTGCCGACGGCCGTGTTGTGCATGATGTGGTACATGTTGCCGCCTCCGGACCAGCCGATGGCGTTCAGGATGATGGGGTTGTTCAGCCCAAGGCCATAAAAGGCGATATCCTGGTTTGTTTCGTTTCCGTGTCAGCCCAGCTCTGCTTATTGTTCCATACAATTTGACTCCGAAAACACGTACAAGGAAGAACCACGACAGGGCGCAGCCCAGAAGAACCTTGAGGTTCTTCCACTGCTTGTAGTGGCGGAAGAACTCGGCGCGCGACGCCTTGGGGGGCTCGGCGGGCTCCTCGGCCGAGCCGTGCAGGAGAGCGTTGGCCTTCTCGGCATCCTTCTCAACATCGAACGTGTACCGCGGGGTCTCGGGGATGGTGAGACGGACTGGACAGCGGGGAACAAGTCAGCAGGGGGGGCCAAAGACGACCAGTGAACGAGACCGACCACCGGTCTCGAACGGAGCCCTCCCCACCCCACAGGATAGCGTAACTCACAGTAAAGCGCGATGCTGCCGGGAACGGCACCGAAGCCGATGATGATACGCCACATCCTGTCGGCGGCGGCGACGCAGGCTCCGTTGCTCGAGCAGGCGGCGGGCGAGCTCGCCATCTCCAGCTGCGACTTGAAGGCGGCTGTGGTGATGAGCAGCACGAGGGCGGCGCAGAGCTGGCCGATGCCCTGCATGGCGAATACGGCGTTCATCATGAAGCCGCGCCACTTGGTCGTGGCAAACTCGGACGTGATGGTGGCGCTGAGGGGGTAGTCACCTCTGTAATAGGGGAGTTCAGAGTCAGCATCGTGTTGTCTGGGCATTCTCCCTCTCATGCAGGCTCGGATGGCTCGCTTACCCGATACCGATGCCCATGATGATACGCCAGAAGACCAGGACGCCGATGATGGATACGCCTGGCGAGCCTGCCGACAGCGCCTGGACGAGGGTGGTGCAGATGATGATGAGAAGCTCAAATCCGTACTGAAAAGACAGCGTCTGTTAGTTTGGCCGCGTCGCATTCTATGGTGGTAGGGCCCCTGGCTAGCCGGAGCTGGGACCGGGGCAGTCGAGGGAAACGCACAATCTTTTTCCTTCCGAGGTAGTCGGCAATGATTCCGAAGCCGATCTGGCCGACCATGGTGCCGGTCGAGGTCGAAACCTTGAGGGCCGTGTCGTCGTCGGACGACAGGGTGCCGCCGTAGTAGACGATGCCCAGCAGACCCGTAATCAGACCAACGGCGAAGATGTCGTACTGCCAGTAACGCATTAGTACAACTAGAGGCTGTTAAAAAATCGAGGTTTGAGACATGAAACATACGCTGTCCGTCATGAAGCCAATTCCGCCAATGGCGATGGTGCGCACGTGGTACCAGCCAAAGGGGACACTGTCGATCTCGGCCAGGGCCAGACGGCGCCGCTCAGTGGGGTCGGCGATGTGGGCGAACTGGTTGCTGGAGGAGGGGGGAAAAGTAGGGTCCTTGTTAGTCTTTGCGGTTCCCTCGGACGTGGTCATGGCCCGCTGGGTACGTCGGATGACGTGCGGCAGCGTAGGTTGGGGGAGGGGGGCACTGGAACATGCGCAGGCGCATGCAGAGAAACCTACTTGTAGTTCTTGAAGGCGGCGTTGCCGCCCGATGTCATGGCGAGCTTCTTCTCGACGGCGGCAAGGCGCTCGGCCTCCTCGGGGGAGGCCATGATTCCTCCTGCGCTGGAAGCCATGGTGCACGAGGACGGAGGGCGCGTGGCGTGGCGGGCCAAGGGGGAAGGGGGAGGGCCGTGCAGTCACAAGAATGACGACGGACGGTCGGCCAAGAAGAAAGGAGCCGATGGGGACTCTGGGTGCCGTGGGTGCGGGCTTGGGAGAGAGAGAGAGAGAGCGACGGGGGAGGAAGGGACCAAGGAGGCGGCGACGGGACAGGAGGAGGAGAGGAGCCGGCTAATATACACGTACAGACACGCACAGATCTCTGTTCCAATGTCTAATGTACGGTTTAAAAATGGGGAATGGCTAGGGGAGGGTGACCTTGTTCGCTTCTCGCCGTCGCGCCATCAACACAGAAGTTTACTTGTCGAGTTTACTGGGGGTGTGAGCAAGGCCAGGCCAATCGAAGCAGTGGTGGGGCAGCACGTTCCCTCCCTCTTCCCCTCGTGCCGGACACAAGGGAGACAAGCACCACCAAGCACAGCACAAGGCCGCGGCAAGCTTTCCTTGTTGAGAGCTTGACCCATAAGCGCCATGCAGGCGAGGCGGCCGGTGGAGCACTTGTGATAATGGGTGGTGTGTGTGTGTGTGTGTGTTTGTGTGGCTGGTACTGTGTGGATTTAGCGGGTGGGCGGGTGAAAGAAGAAAAAAAAAAATATCGAGACACACAGAAAACCTAGCAGCCAGACCGAGGCCGAGACGGGACAGAGGCAATGAGCACGGCCGCCGCACTGCGCCGACGGTACTTCCATGCCATCTAAATTCCGCTGGCTGGCGCAGGGGCTTAGAAGAGCCTCCTCGGCCGTTCCAGCCTGCTTACCAGCCTCGACGAAAGGACGAGCAAAGATGTATGCCAGCAAATGCCGTCTATTGTGGATACCGCCAAGGCGCCCCGGTAGGTAGCTACTACCTACCTACGTAGCAGGCGGGTAGTATATCTGACGCTCGCGCTCTGTTCGGCCGAGACGGCACTCGAGTCGGCAGCAAAGCCGGCAAAGCCCAGCAACGATGAGTGATTCGCCGCAAAGGCTGGTCACACTACCTCTTTCCCTTTCCAGCAAAACGCCAAGAAGGGGACCACACAGTCGCCGCGGGAGAGCTGCAGCCAAGCCTTTCTGAGACTGCGACCATAGCAAAAGGTGCGTGAGTTGTTATCTCGGGGGGTTTGATTGCTTGTCATGCTTGTTTTTTTTTCCCTTCCCGCCGCCCGAGCTCGGGCTTGGCTGGCGATCAAGCCGAGTAAGTAGCCCCTGCAACAATGAGGGGTTGGCACCGCTTCAATCCAATGGGTACCTGTCGCTCCGCCGTAGCTATAGTACACAAATAGCCCGCGAACATCAGGCTGGTGTCATGAGCCACTTTATTTCCAATTCCTCCCTTTCAGCAGCAACGCACGCACACTGTAACACCCTCAAAGCCTTTAATTTGCCTCGCCTTGGCTGTCACTGTGTAATGTGTGATGTAGCTCGAAGGCGGGCCACCTGGCACTGGTTCGATCTCCGTGTGGGGAATGCAGATTCTTTCCCACCCTCACCGCGCAGCCCCGGAAAAAAAACCACAGCCGCCTCTGCAGCCAGTGGTACAAAACCGACCAATCATTCCCCGCCATTCTACCACGTTTCGACCTGCCCGTCTTTCATTCGCCTCGCCTCCTGTCCCTTGCACCTCTCCGCTCCGCCCATCCCACCGCCGCTGCGTCGTCGTGGACCCGTCCATTTGCGGCTTGGCATTCAATTTTTCTGGTTTACCCTTTTCGCGCTTTTGTTGTTTCCTGCTCCTTTTCCGAACCGCGGGCAATCCCCTCGGTTCCGACGCTATCCTTGCGTCGTCCGCTGTCAGTTCATTCCCCTTTTTCTGCTTTGGTCCCGCCAGGCGCGGCGTTGAGGAAGGGAGAAAGCGGAGGGGAAAGGGATGTTACTCGGCCGTCGGTGGGGGTCACCTTTTGATGCTTGCACACAACCTGGCAAGGAAGGACCTATGATATCATTTACCCGAGTTTAAGCGCGCTTGGTGCAGGCGGCTCGGTTCGGCCTAACGTTTGCTGCTGCTGCTCGAGTGCTAGCAAGCAGCCTGGGACTTGGCGACCCCACACCTGCCCACCCCCCATAAACGCCGCCTTGTGCTTCCAAGACCTTAAAGCATCCAATTAGACAGCTTGGCCGAGCGGTTAAGGCGGCAGATTTAAGCTCTTGACACTTGATCTCTGCTCTCGAAAGAGTCGTGAGTTCGAACCTCACAGCTGTCATATAACCCTGGGTTCCCTTTTGCTGGTTCCCTTTTTGCCTCTTTATTTTCTCCGGTTCTTCCTCTTCTTGGTGCTTCGCCCAACCCGGAATTTCGATGTTGGTACAACCTTTTTTCCCACCCTTTTCGGCTTTACTTCTTCCGTATCCAGACAAGCTTAAATACTTTGTGGAGAATTTTACTGGAAACTCCATTACCTGCCGGCGCCCTCCACTGGCCATCTGAGCCGCAGAGCCGCCCAGCCAATCAGGGCTAATCCCTGGACCACGTTCCTATCTCTGCCCTCCCACCCGCTCCTGAAAGTCAAGCCTCGCAACCGTATCCACCACCACTAGAGCAACGCCCGGCATCTCCTGTAATTTCCGGCCTCGCTCCAATGCCGTCCTTCGTCATGCGTTCCCGCCCCTTGTGGAAATTCATCAGTAGCCCGTTCATGACAAAAGGACATAGGCGTAAAGGGGGGGGGGGGGGGGTCAAGGGTGAGAGACGTCCCACAGGGAGACAAATATAGATAAGGAGTAGGAGATAGACATAGCAGCGTAATAGGAAAGAGGAGTAGGAGACAGGCGTAGAAGAATTATAGTCACAGATACAGAAAAGGAACAAGACAATGCGGCTCCGTCCACCCTAGCTAGCCAGCTGGCTATACGTCCGTCCACCAACCAACCTAGTCACAAGCCAGCCCAAGCCCCGTCAACACCAAGCCAGCCACTCCCCTGCCTGCCACCCAGAAAGCCAAAACGGCAAGCCAAGGCTAAGGCGCCAAGCCGGCCGCGCCCGTTCCTCCCACCACATCCAACACCAAGCTTTTTTCCCCCCCTTCCACGTCCACACACACACACACACACACACACACACACACACACATACATACAAA